TTGATTTTCCAGCATCAGTCTCATTACATGGTTATGACAACGGGAAGATGCCACCCGCTCACATCCCAGGCAGCAGACAAAGAACTCAATGTTACAACTCACTTTATAAGTTTTTTGACCAATCTCACAAAACAAAAGCACATTGACAGCAGTTCTCTCCAATCACCATAAATACTTTTGGTTTAAAACAATGCTTGCTTATTTCAAATAAAATACCTGCTTGTAAGCCTTAAAACACAATGCACAGAGCTCCATTATTAATCTTTAACCTTCCTAATATCTTGCTAGATAAACTTTTCTAGCTTAGAGAGTTATTCTAGACAAGCATTAATACACAGACCATTGTTCTATTTGTCCTTGCTTTTCTCCTTTTTAAATAATTTTTCTGCTGACCTATCTCATGGCTGCTGCCCAGCTCCAATCACAATTCTGCTGTCTCTGAGGCCTGACTTCTGCAGCTTTCCCAAAACCCTCTAATTTTGTGGATTCCCACAAATTTGGAACCACATAGACCACTTATGCTTCTTTCTCATAAAGATATGTTAGTGAAACAATTACATAGCCTTGTCAAGACTAAATTGCAGGTGAAAACCCAGCACATCTCTACCTAAGCATGGCCAACCACTCACAACTTCACTTCCAAGATGCTTCCTCGCCTGTCATAGAAGAACTGATGGGATTCCACTCCAAATTCACCCATGGCATGTCCAACAAGCTTTGCAGCCAGCCAAGAGACAGGCAGTGAGGTGAGGCACCTTTGCCATTGGTGCAGTGGCATTCCCACCTTTCTGGGGAAAGCGAGGGAGCCCAGCCCCACATGGGAGTGCTCTGCTCCTTTTGCCAGCTCCTCTTGCAGGGCTGCATTTCCCACCTGCAGCTCCTTGTTAGGCACAAAATATTACGGTAATCCAATTTAGACATGACAAAAATTACTGTCCCTCTGCCAAGGCATCTCCTGAACTGAAAACTGTCATTCCCAAAGAAAGGGTCTCAGCCTTTAGTGGGGCTGTAAGCTTAACACCACCATCATTTATGCTAATAAAGTGAGGCTGATGGAAGTGGGACTTACTGCCAGCAACAAGCTGAGGAGATTCTCCTGGGTCTCACTGTTCTGTTCTGAGCAGGAGCACTTGTGGTCCAAACCCTTTCCTTTCTCCAACCCGGTGTAAGAACTCAGTGAGGCTTTTTAGGAGAGTGGCAAAATTAATATTTTCAAACATATTCTATTTATTTCTGTCTCTGAGCACTAAATTGTAATTCAGATTAATATTTTCATTTCCTGTGATAAATATGGGAGTTATTAGAAATAAAAAAAAAATATTTGTAGGCTCCTAATTGGTTTCCAATGATTCATTCAGCAGCACATTTATAAATAGGAAAAAAGGGGAGGGGGAGAAGTCAGCAAGAGAAAGTCTTCAAGACATACAACTGCCATGTTAACCAGTGGCCAGAACATTTCTGTGGTACTTAACTGATACTATTTTGTTGGTGAAATATTTTTTTAACCTAATTCCTATCCTCTAGTGCGGGAATCCTTAATACATTTTTATGTCAAACAATATTGTTCCCTCTTGAATTCTGATCAGTGGCTACAGAAACGTTATTTGCAGACATTCAGTTGGGATTTGTTCCCTCTTTTACTTCTCTGCTCAACATCCGTGGCACAGAGCACAAGGACAGGAGATGTAATTCACTATTTCAATTTTTAGAGATTGGTATCTTCAGTAGTGTTGGTGTTCAGTGTTCCCTTGTGCAAGGAGGGAGCCAAGGTGTCCCTTACAATGCCAGGGGTCTTGTGGTAAATAATGATATAAAGAAACCTCCTGGGATGCACAGACATCACCTTTGATTGCAACTGCAGATTCATTCAGGCCTCTGTGGTGTACTTGAAATTAAATCTGTATTGCCTTTCAATAAAATTAAGAGCCTTGAAGTAAATTTCAGCATGATATGAGTAAGTATTAACTCCCTTTTTTTAGACTACATCTCACCAGTTTTCTGTCATGCACTGCATTCTTAATCACTGTCAAATCACTATATTTTCCTTCTCAGGGAGGAATGCTGATGTTATGCAATGTTACTATGTAGATCATGCTCTGGTTTTTCTACTCCTATTTTGAGAAAATGCTTCTGAGTAAAACTTCATTTTTGGCCAAGTCTTCCCCAGCAGATAACATTTTGTCTATATTTGTGTGACATGATTTTCTGCTTCGTGGTTCTGGCAGGTGGAGGAATGCTATTTTCCACATCTTTCATATGGTGGAGACTGTGCAGAGTCTGGTTTAGCACAGCAGGCACAGAGGGTTTGATTTGTTTTCCTAACACGTGTGTCACATATAAAAGGCAATGTCCTTGCACTGGGGTTGTTAATAACTGGCTGCTCCAGATGGATTTGTGCCAGCACAGAATCCACCACCACAATTAGCAGTAGTAGGAACTTCAGCTGGCAGCAGCAGGGAAAGCAGTAAAGATTAAATGACTGTGTGAAATGTCTCTCCAAATTAAAACTGATGTGCATTGGCAAAAAATAAGGAAACTCACACATTACCCCTTATATTCTGTTCTGTTTGGGTAATAAATGTTGCTGTCTGGGACTCATTCTTTTTCACATAATAGATTCAGCCCTTTAATGATAAGAATCTGAGTAACCCCACCTGTAAAACATCTCAAATTACAAAAACTTAGAGATGACTTTCAAATGTTTGAGGATACAAATAACCTTTTGAAGAAATTTGATTTTTAGAGACATTTGCCAGCCTTTTACTAGTTTTTATCTAGTGCCACATATTGTACTTTCAAAAGGTCTGCTTGGAAATTCCACTGAATTACATCCAATATTATTTTTTTTTCCTGGGCATAATATCTTCCAGGAGCTTCAAAATCTCTGCAAAATAGTACTCATGATAAAACTTCTACAGCATAGAATATGATCTTGGTCTAGAGCAGATTATTGTCAGAGCTGCAATAACATCAAACCTTCCCCTTCTCAAGAGCCATGGCTGAATTATGCCAATACCTGTACAAAGAAATTTTAAAAAAGAATGAATGACAAAAATTAGTACAATGAAGATTTGAATAAATATTTTATTGTACAAAATTAACTGATAGAAAATTTTCTAGACTAGCCCATGTTTCTTTAGAGTGGCTCACAATTTATTGTCTCACATTGCCTATATATGACATAGGTCCAAAATACAAATTCTCTTCTACAGTTTAAATGATCCATTGGGAACGTGCCAGAGCTCCTCAGAAATATCTTAGGTTTGAGAATTGGCCTAAACTGACCTTTGAGTTCATGAGCAGTAAAAACCATGGGATTTATAGGTCAGAGTGCAGAAAGCACAGCTGGTAACCACAGCCTTGAGGAGGTTTTGCAGCTGCAGTGATGCAGCACAGCATTGTCACTTTGTGAAATGCTCAGTCTTACACTCCTGGTGTGCATCCCATTCCTGGATTTATTATGGACAGGATTTCATCCCATAAATCCATCAGACAGCTCAGTCCTTTCCTGCTCACTGTGAAAGCAAAGGGCAACCAGAAAACTGAGGCTTTGCCAACACAGTTTTGTCCTTGGCCTCAGTAGGGATGTGCAGATTTGGGCACTCTGGCTGCAGAATTGTCAGGATCAGGGCATTGCTTTGGTGCTGACATTAAAAGCTGCCATGTACAGAGATGCCTGGTGCCATATTCTGACAGCGGTCAGATGTCCCAAAATGGATAATAATAGATATATAATAGATAAAGATAGATATGTAACAGAAAATAGCTTGCCAGGAAGCAAGGCTAGTGGGAAAATAAAGCCAAATCCAATTAAAGTGTCTGCTCAGGCAAATGTTAGCTTTGACTGCAGGACAGAATCCTTCACTTTAGACCACTCAGAGCACAAAGGCAGCACCTGACAAGAAATGTGACCTGTCAGCAGCAGCACAAGCTAAACTGGGCATGAGACCAGCCAGGCTCACCAGCAGCACAGCAGGAGCTGTGCTAATTTGCTAATTCTTGCATTCCCCCTGTGAATTCCTGCCCTGCTCCCTGAGGAATGCCTGGGCCTTGGGATAACTCCATGGAGAGATGTTTGCCCCAGCCCTGGAAGGTCAAGGAAAGCTGGGAGAGCTGAGGAAGCCTCCCAGAACTTTGGGGAAACTCAGCCTCCCTAAAGCCATGGGCAAGCTGGGCTCCAGACAGCTGGAACAGTCTCCAATGAACTGAACTCAGATAGGGACTATGGAAAGAGGAATGTGTGTTTCATGGGTTTTGAGAACAGAGTTTATAGGTTATTTTTAAGAGAATGTATCTTATGAAGCAGAAATTATAAATAAAATACCATAAGTCCCAGTTCTTGCTCTGCATCATGTTTGGTTTTAACTTCATTAATAGCAAATAGGGAGAAATAATGGAAAACCAGTGATTATAACACACTAAATTGCCACAAAAGCAATTTAAGGCCACTGTACACAACTGAATCCCACAGCTCCTTCAAACACCCTTGCCAGCCTGCTTTGGACTTCTTGAAACCACTTGGAACCACATCTACAGGAGTGGGAGTAGATTGGACAATTATACTGCTGCCAAAAAGGAAAAAAACAGCCTCCTGCATTTGCTTCTGGGCTGTAACACAAGACCTTCAAGGCAGGAGAGGACTTCAAACATTCCATGGTTCAATTTATCAATATAAACACAGCACATCAATCTCACTAAAGGCAGCATATAAAGCCCTGCTCCTGCTAGAGCTGATGAGAACCAGGTTGAGGATGAACAATAATATGGGGCTCCCTTCCCAAGAAGAGCTGTTGAAGTAGAGTGTTAACAAAAGCAGGGTTTACTTTTTAAAGAAACCCTTTAATAAACAAAAGGGCAGAGGATTTTCCCAATTCATCTTGTTCCAGAACTCTATCACATGTAAATCTTCAGTCTGTGTGTAACATTTGGTACAGTGGAAAAAGGTCAATATAAAAATGCTGTTCTCTCATTCTTTAGCCACACTATGAGGAAAACCACAGTTTATTATAACAGGAAATAATATTTTATTATAAAATCTGCATGTAAACAAGTAACCAATTAATTGAATAACAGTTAATGGAAGTGCAAATTAACTTAATAAAATGATATCTGTTCTGTATTTAAATATATATATATAATTTGTTTTCTCCCATTCTACTGTGGTTCTACTCCACCCTCCCCACATTTAAGTTTAAAAAGATTTATCATTGCTTGCTTTGTACTAAAAAGAGTGTACGAGCCTGCGTACAAGTTGAAGTTTTGCTCTGCAAACGAGACAAGTCTGTGGTGATATTATCCTTTCTTATCTTTGCATCTCTGGTATCCACAAGACAAGAAGATATAGAACATATGTACACAGTGGGCATGTCAAGCCTCGTATTTCAAGTTAGTTCATTTACTTGCACACACTGAAACTTAACCCATTTATCGATGAAGCACTGCAGTGTAACTTCCAGCCTTGCTTGAGCACCTTAAGGCATTAACGAGAGTCTCTGGAGCAGCCATGGCCGCTGTGCCCACGGGATCCTCAGGGGATCAGGGGCTCGTCCATCCCTCCCTGAGGGCTCCTATAGCACGGACAAGTCGTGGCAAGACTTGGATTTCGCTTTGAAAGCCATCTTCTTGTTGTTCTTGGCCACGATCCTGCCCAGGAAGCGCTTGGCCTTCTTGCTGATGCTCTCCCTCCTCTTGGCGTTGGCCATCCTGCGTGCGTTGTCCTCCTTGCTGTCCTTGCGCAGCCGGATCTGCCGCACGATGCCCTCAAACAGGTCCTTCACGTTGTGGTGCAGAGCTGCCGATGTCTCGATGAACTTGCAGTCAAACACCACGGCACAGGCCCGGCCCTCTGCACAGACAGACAGACAGACAGGAAGGTCAGTGGAGAGGTTTTCACACACACTGTCAGCAGGACAGAACAGGAGTTGGCTCAAAGTAAGCAAGGTGCCTTCAATGCCGTGAAAGCTTTACTGCAAAACAGGAAAACCCAAATTTGCTCTTCATGGTTTTGCCCCCTCACTGTCCTTGGTTTTGTTGTGCTGTGGTCAGAAATCTCATCTGATCAATGGATCTGAATACATGGCAGCAATAGGTATCCAGACAGACTGTGCCTGCACTGTGTAGGAGCTAAAGCTGATTTAGGAGAGGCCCTGGGAAGTGTGCTTGTGGTTTGATATGGAGCAGTGTGAGTCTCCTGATTTTGCATTAAACTGACTTTGGGTAAAGACAGTGATGTACAGAAAGAAATTAGGTTTATTCTGGAAGCTGTTGAGCAATTCTGCACCTCTGCCTTGCTGCAACAAGTGAGCTCTCCACACCAACAGAAGTGGAGCTGATACAGGCCACAAGGCCAAGTCATTGAACACATCAGTAGAGGTCACAAAGTTGTGCCCCACCGAATCTGACCAGGGCTGAATTTGAAATAAAAGATATTCAGTGTTCTGGACATAAGCACTTAACCCTGGGACATTGCTTCAGCACAAATTTCCACAGTCAGCTGTGGTAAATAATGGCAGAGTTGTAAACTGAGGAAAGTACAGATGTCAGAACTAGGACAGGTCAACCATGCCCTGCCCCAGCCTGAAAAAGTAATCTCCTGATGAACTCCAGTCAATTCCCTGAGCAGGAATTTAACACTGGGAGCTGGGCAAACCAGATAGGGAGAGATGGTTCCTCATCAAGGTACCAATACTTCAGAGTATTCTTTCCAGTGGAAAACAAGAAAACTCACCCCAAAACAAAACTAAACCCAGCCAAAGGAAAAGCCTCAGAAAATGTTTAAATAAGCAGAATCAAGGCTGTGGTGTTGGCATTGGTCCCTGTGCCCCAGGTACCCAAATGCCAGCTGGAGCTGGCTGAGAGAATTCTCACTGATCACAGCTGAAGAACACAAAAAGACTTTTGGGTTGTGTGAGCCTGGTCCCAGCAGCCCAGCTCAAATGTGCTGGAGTCCCCTGCAGCAGAAAGGGCTGCACAGGCTGCATGGCATCCCTGTCCTGAGGCTGCCTGGCTCTGTGACATGGCACTGTGTCCCCCAAAGAGCACAGCTCAGGCTGTCACAGCTCCCACTGTCACAGCCCGAGCCTGGCAATGCTGCTGCACACACACCATACAGTTAAAGCCTGCCTTGAGTAGTCCTGTGCTGAAGCTGCAGCGCTGATGCATTTTCCTCTCCCACTGCAGCTCTGCACAGCCACACATCTCCCCCCACACCCATCCCCAGTGTTTTCTGTGGTACCAAGCCCTGCAGCACAGCCAGCTGGCTCCACATCCCCAGTGATGCTCAAATCACACATTTTCCTACATCAAACCCAGGCATTCCTGCTGGCCATGATCCTGCACAGCCTTTGCTACTGCTTTAGACAACACTTGGAAAATTCAGTGTCTCTTACCATCAACTGAGACCTCCCGGGACCTGACCAGGTCACTTTTATTTCCCACAAGGATAATAGGAATATCTTCTGTCTGCCTTGCTCTTCTCAGCTGGATTCTTAGCTCAGAAGCCTTCTCAAAACTAACTTTGTCTGTCACTGAGTAGACAATAATATAGGCATCTCCCATTTTCATGCAGTGGTTCTGGAGCCATTGGCTGTCATCCTGGAACAACAGACAAGAAATGGATTTATTGGGCTGAAAAATCTACTCAACACTGAGTGATCATTTATTACTGTAAGCATCTTAAAGATTCTTTTCTTAGCCTTATTATTAAAAGTCAATAAAAGAAAGCAAATCTCCCCAAAATTTCAAACATTTTGTTATTTAAAATACAAAACAAAATAAATTTCTCTTGTTTCCAGAAATAATATCAAGTCTTCACTGATCAGACTCACAATGTCTAATTTTACAGTAATTCCCTGGGCTGCTCATGTAAGATACTGATTATTCAAAGCATTAAGAGAGCCTCACTCAGCTCTGTTCAGGGTTTTAAACTGCCTGCCTAGCTACAAGAAATTAATTGCAGAGAGAACAAAGGCAGAATAAATTCTAATTTTTAATGTCACTTATCTGATCAAACAAATAGGCATAGTTGTTCCATTTCTATTTTTTTTCCTTAAGAGAACTACAGACCAAGCCATAAAGCAAAAAAGCACGAGGAAAGAGCTGTAAGTACCTGCTCCCATATATCGAACACCACGAGAGACGCTTCTTCTCCATCAACTATAATTGATCTGTCATATGTATTTCCTATGGAAAATCAAATAAAAAGAGTTCAGCAGAAGAAGTTCTCCTCCTCCGTGCCTGCCGGTGTCCTTAGGGGAGGCTCCGAGCCGGGG